CTTTCTTTCTTTCTTTCTTTCTTTCTTTCTTTCTTTCTCCTTCCTTTTTTCTCTCCCCCTCCCTATCTTCTTTTTTTCCTTCCTTCCTTCCTTCCTTCCTTCCTTCCTTCCTTCCTTCCTTCCTTCCTTCCTTCCTTCCTCCCTCCCTCCCTCCCTCCCTCCCTGTCATGCTTCCTTATCTTTCTCTTCTTCTTTACCCTCCCTCCCTCCCTCTCTTTCTTTCTTTCTTTCTTTCTTTCTTTCTTTCTTTCTTTCTCCTTCCTTTTTTCTCTCCCCCCTCCCTATCTTCTTTTTTTCCTTCCTTCCTTCCTCCCTCCCTCCCTCCCTCCCTGTCATGCTTCCTTATCTTTCTCTTCTTCTTTACCCTCCCTCCCTCTTTCTTTCTTTCTTTCTTTCTTTCTTTCTTTCTTTCTTTCTCCTTCCTTTTTTCTCTCCCCCCTCCCTATCTTCTTTTTTTCCTTCCTTCCTTCCTCCCTCCCTCCCTCCCTCCCTGTCATGCTTCCTTATCTTTCTCTTCTTCTTTACCCTCCCTCCCTCTTTCTTTCTTTCTTTCTTTCTTTCTTTCTTTCTTTCTTTCTTTCTTTCTTTCTCTCTCTCTCTCTCTCTCCCTCCCTCCCTCCCTCCCTCCCTCCCTCCCTCCCTCCCTTCCTTAAGACAGTTTAATCTTAAACAGAGGGCTGTTTGGCTTGGGGATCACTTTCCCATGAGAGGCCTTTTTGGATTCCTGGTCCAGATTGTTGGGTGCCTCCAGCACAATGTATGCAGGTAGTCCTCAACTTAAGGCTACAATAGAGCCCAAAATGGCTGTTGCTAAGTGAGACAGTTGTTAAGGGAGTTTTGCCCCCGTTTTACCACCTTTCTTGCCACAGATATTAAGTGAATCGCTGCCCTTGTTAAGTCAGTAACACGGTTGTTAGGTGAATCTGGCCTCTCCATTGACTGTGCTTGTCAGAAGGTCGCAAAAGGGGATCACGTGACCCCCTGGGACACTGTAACCGTCATAAGTACATGCCAGTTGCCAAGCGCTCAAATTTTGATCATGTGACCATAGAGATGCTGCAACTGTCCTAAATGGGAAAAACGGTCATAAGTCACTTTTTTTCGATGCCTTTGTAAATTCCAATGGTCACTAAATAAATGGTCATAAGTTGTATCACCAAAGACTAATTTAGCTACTTATTGAAACCTTGTTGAACTGCGGTCCTTCACTATTAACCAAGGTGGAAATCTAGTTGCCCTTTGTATGCTTTGGATTATAATTTCTCAGCCTTCTTATTAATAGGAATTAAATGAGTCGGGCTGCCTAAGCCTGGAAAACAATAGTTCTCTATTATTATTATTATTACTATTACTACCATTATTATTACTACTATTGCTATTATTACTACATCATCATCATCATCATCATCATTATTATTATTATTATTGATCATCATACAGTCAGCCAGATGTTCAGCCTGGATTTGGCATTTTGTCTACCTATCGAGTCCTTACCTAGGACCTGGGATAGGCAGATGTGGATGTTTGATGATATTACAGATATCGTCGCAGGATGGAAGCAGTTCCTAGTAAGGCCGCCTTTTGCAATTGACTAATAGCGAATTTGTCAATGCCGATGATGGTGTTCAAGTGGTGCTCCAGTTGTTTTGGGATTGCACCCAAGGCGCCTATTACTATTGGTACTACCCTTGCTTGCCTTTGCCACAGTCTTTCTATTTCTATTTGTAGTAGTAACAACTACTACTACTACTATTATTATTATTATTATTATCATTATTATTATTATTATTATTATATTTTATTTTTATGCCAACCACTTGAAAGGACCTTTGTTCTCGCCTGAATCGCTTCATGAGCCTACTGTACAGCTGAAAGTGCTTTTATTTTAATAACCACAGTGGTGCTTTCTAAAGTGGTGGGTGTATCTCTTGAGAGTGCAATTTTGTGATGAGGGTGGCAATTGCTGTAATGCCTCGGGTGTCATTTCGCAAAAGGGAGCATTTGAACTTGGACATGTTAAAGGGAAAAATTCTTAGACTGCACCAGTGGCAGGTCAGAAAATACCTGGCTCTCCAATAGAAGATAAAGTATTTGCTGCTTAGGGTCAAATTATGGGTCCTTGGTCTCTTTGCGGTTGGTGGTTGTTAATAATAATAATAATAATAATAATAAAGGTAGACAAAATGCCAAATCCAGTCTGAACATCTGGCTGACTGTGCGATGATCCATAATAATAATAATAATAATAATAATAATAATAATAATAATAATAATAATAATAATAATAATATAGATTTGGAAGGGACCTTGGAGGTCTTCTAGTCTAACCCCCTGCTCAGGCAGGAAACCCTATACCATTTCAGACAAATGGCTGTCCAGTCTCTTCTTAAAAACTTCCAGTGTTGGAGCATTCACCGCTTCTGGAGGCAGGTTGTTCCACTGATTAATTGTCCTCACTGTCAGGAAATTTCTCCTCAGTTCTAGGTTGCTTCTCTCCTTGGTTAGTTTCCATCCATTGCTCCTTGTCCTGCCTTCAGGTTTTCTTGTAGACATTTCATTACCCGACTTACGACTAGTTGCTTGCGACCATTCAGAGTGACGACCCACCTAAAAAAAGGGGACCTACCACCTGAATTCAAAGTTTTGATGGTCGCACCCCCTGTGGTTGTTTGGGCGTTTGTCAACATGTCCACATGTACAGCAGTTACTCCTGGTTTTCAGCAACAGTGCACTCTTAGCCAACTGTTGGCTCTCTTAATGACTGCGGTGTTCCCTTAACGACCGCCTCAAAGAATCTGAAATCACGTCGGGAAAGCCAGATTCAACTAAAAACCATGTTACTAATTTAACAATTGCAATGATTCACTTAACCAATAGTGGGCAAGGGAATTTGTAAAATGGGGCAAAACTCACTTAACCAATGTTTCACTTAGCGACATAAATGTTGGGCTCCATTGTGGTCGTAAGTTGAGACCACCTGTAGTCACTCTGTCACTTCCTTCGAGGCAATCTATCCAAAGTCACATATTGGAAGACTCCTCCCTGCTCAAGTCACTAGATTCATATATCAGTGGAGACAAGGAATGCGGACAGCCCTTGACTTACAACCATTTGTTTAGTGACCGTTTGCGTGAAACTCTGAACAACAGTCGTAAGTTCCCTTTTTTTCAGGAGCGTTGAACGGTCACTAAACAAATGCACCCAACTTGAGAAAATTCACAGAAGTAGCAAGAATAACCCAGGTGCCCCTTTGGCAGCATCTAAGCCAGGTCCCTTTATCCAGGGGTGTCTACAGGGAAGGGCTCTGAAAATTCAAAATGGTGGCCAAGGTGGAGCAATGTAAGCCCCGCCCCTTTTCTACATATATATGTCGCCATGCACACGAAAGCAACACAACCTCAATTTTATGGTTGTGGCCATCGTTTCCTTCCTCCTATTACCTTTCCTTCTCTATTTAGCAGGCCTGGTGCCTGGATTTTTCAGCCATGTCTCCCCTGCTATTTTACTCCGGCTGCTCTTTGTCATTTTAGATTTTTTCAGAATATATACAAATAGTCCTCAGCTTACAACTGTTCCTTTAGTGACCATTCAAAGTTACAACAGCCCTGAAAAAAAGTGGCTTATGTCCGTTTTTCACGTTGACGACCGTTGCAGCATTCCCCCATGGTCACGTGATCAAAATTCAGATGCTTGACAAGTGGTTCCTATTTATGACGGTCGCCGTGTCCCGGGATCACACGATCAGCTTTTGTGACCTTCTGACAAGCAAAGTCAATGGGGAAGCCAGCTTCACTTAACAACCGTGCTACTAACTTCACAATTGCAATGATTCACTTAACAGTGGTGGCTAGGAAAGTCGCAAAACGGGGCAAACCCATTTGACAGATGCTTCACTAAGCAACATAAATTTTGGGCTCAGTCATGGTCGTAACTCGAGGACTACATGTAATGCAGTCCCATGACATCGCACTTCTGACTACATCACTCGGCAGTAGGAATTTCGGTCCCAATTGCTGTCATAATTCGAGGACTACATGTATTAAGAAGGAAGTCACATTGGTCTTTGAATGCATGGGGAATGGGAGCGCAGTGTTCATGGATGCTATTGTGGCAGGAATACATTCCCAAATTAAAAAAAAAAAACACAAATAAAAATGGCTCAAATCTTCCTGCATGAGGTATAGGTATAGCACTGGTATAGGGCCATGGTGGTGAACCTATGGCACGCGTGCCACAGGTGGCACGCAGAGCCCTTTTTGTGGGCACGCACACTGTCACCCCAGTCCTAGGCCTTCAGCTGAGTATTATAAAACCTTTTCGCTTTAGGCTCCGCTGCCGTGTGCAAAAAAAAAAAAAAAAGTTCAATCAATCAATCAATTTCAACTTCTCCCGGGAAAAAAAAATCTCGCAAAGTTGGAATAGATTGATTAAACTTTTTAGTCCCACCAAGTCTGCGGTTACCACTGCAGCCACGCCCACCCAATGGGCCACGCCCACCTGGCACCCGACGATACATAAGTAGGTTTTGGGTTGCAGTTTGGGCACTCGGTCTCTAAAAGGTTTGCCATCACTGCCCTATACCATCTCAGACAGGTGAATGTCTAGTCCAGTGTTTCTCAACCTTGACAATTTTAAGGCATGTGGACTTCAATTCCCAGAATTCCACAGCCAGCAATGCTGGCTGTGGAATTCTGGGAGTTGAAGTCCACATGCCTTAAAATTGTCAAGGTTGAGAAACACTGGTTCTAGTCTCTTCTTAATTATCTCCACGATTTCTGGAGGCAAACTGTTCCACTGGTTGGTTGTCCTCACTGTCAGGAAGTTTCTCCTTAATTCCAAGTTGCTTCCCTCTTTGATCAGCTTCCAACCCTTGTTTCTCGCCCCAGAGAATGCTTGCACAGAGAGGGCACCCTTCTTTACGTTGTGAGGCAGAGGAATGTTGGATTAGATCAAAGGTCTTTCCTTTGTACTCCGTCAGAAGCAGACAAGATCCTTCCTCCAAGACCCTTGACCTCATCAAAGAACAAGTTGAGCAATCCACTTCAAAGATTTGGTACTGGGGGCAAGTTGAGAGCAGGCCCTTGTGAGCAGCGTGCTTCTTAGCCATTAAATATTTATTTATTTAAAACATTTATCCACCCGTCTTGTCTTTTCAACAACTCTGGATGAGCTCCCCGTCCAAATAAAAAGACATGCAAATTAAAAGACCACAATTGAGCCCCACATTTTCGTTGCTAAGCCCGGAAAAGGTGTGTTGCCGAGCGAGTCGTTTCCCATTTTACAACCCTTTTTGCCAGGGCTGTTCAGCGAATCGTGCCATCATTAAGCAAATCGTGCGGTCATTAAACAAACCGTGCAGTCATGAAGCGAATCTGGCATTCCTCCGTTGACTTTGCTTGTCAGTAGGTCTCATGATGATCCTGGGACACTACAACCATCATAAATACATGTCAGTTGCCAAGTGCCCGAATTTTGATCACGTGACCAATGGGAGGGGGGACGGCTGCAACGGTTGTGTGAAAAATGGTAAGCTTGCAAATGATAATCCCAGGATTCTGGGACGTTACAACCCCCCGCAAACACACCCTGGTTGCCAAGCACCCCAAGGTTGACCGTGTGACTATGGGGATGCTGCTCCAGTCATCAGTGTGAGAACTGGCCATAAGTCACCTTTTTCAGTGCCGTTGTAACTTGGAACAGTCATTAAACGAATGGTTGTAAGTTGAGGACGATGCACCTGCGTAAAATCATATTAAAATTATAAGCCAGTTGAAACGTAAAACATTAAAAACAGTTTAGCACCCATTAGCACCAATCTGTGCTAAAGGGGCATCTACTAATTTTTTTCCCCCAACACTTGGGAGAAAAGGCAGATCTTCAAAGTCTTATAGAAAGTTAAAGCCTAAGAAGACTGCTCAACTTCAAGGAGTAGAATGCACTCTAAGGCAGAGGTCCCAACCTTTTGGACACCAGGGACCGGATCCGTGGAGAGAGGTTTTTCCACGGATGAGAGGGGATGTGGCTTTGTGTGTTGCCTGCATCCCGCGGATGGGGCTTTGCTTGTTTGTGCGGCCCGGTTGCTGGCATGCCGTGGCCCGGTACCGGTCCACAGACCGGGGTTTGGAGACCTCTAACATAATGCACCATAAGGCTGGGGCTGTCATAGAAAAGATGTGCTTCCTAGCTCCCTTCAGATGGCAATATTTAGGGGGAAGGGACCATATCTGACCTGGTAGGATGAGTAGATGTCTATAGGGAACAGTAGTCCTGCAGATAACCTGGTCCTGTGCCATCTAGGGCTTTAAAGGTGATGACCAGCACCTTGAATTGCACCCAGAAATAAATTGTCAGTACAGGTAGTCCTCGAGTTACGACCACAACAGAGCCCAAAATTTATGTCACTAAGTGAAACATTTGTTAAACGGGTTTGCCACCATCGTTTAAGCGAATCATTGCAATTGTTAAGTTAGTAGCATGGTTGTTAAGTGAATCTGGCTTCCCCATTGACTTTGCTTGTCAGAAGATCGCAAAAGCTGATCGTGTAACCCCGGGACACGGCGACCGTCATAAATAGGAAGCACTTGTCAAGCATCTGATCATGTAACCGTGGGGGATGCTACAACGGTCGTCAACGTGAAAAACGGTTATAAGCCACTTTTTTTCAGGGCTGTTGTAACTTTGAATGGTCACTAAAGGAATTGTTGTAAGTTGAGGACTACCTGTATATATTCTGAAGAAATCTGAAACGAACTAGGTACAAAGAGCAGCCGGAATAAAACAGCAGGGGAGACATGGCTGAAAAATCCAGGCACCAGGCATGTTAAATAGAGAAGGATATGTAATAGGAGGAAGGAAACGATGGCCACAACCATAAAATTGAGGTTGTGCTGCTTTCATGTGCATTGTGACATATATAGGTAGAAAAGGGGCGGGGCTTACATTGCTCCACCTTGGCCACCATTTTGAATTTTCGGAGTCCTTCCCTGTAGACACCCCTGGATAAAGGGACCTGACTTAGACGCTGCCAAAGGGGCACCTGGGTTATTCTTGCTATTTCTGTGAATTTTCTCAAGTTGGGTGCATTTGTTTAGTGACCATTCAACGCTCCTGAAAAAAGGGGACTTACGACTGTTCTTCAGAGTTTCACGCAAACGGTCACTGAACAAATGGTTGTAAGTCAAGGACTGTCCACATTCCTTGTCTCTACTGATATATGAATCTAGTGACTTGAGCAGAGAGGGGTCTTCCAATGTGTGACTTTGGATAGATTGCCTCGAAGGAAGTGACAGAGTGACTACAGGTGGTCTCAACTTACGACCGCAATGGAGCCCAACATTTATGTCGCTAAGCGAAACATTGGTTTTGCCCCATTTTACAAATTCCCTTGCCACTGTTGGTTAAATGAAACATTGCAATTGTTAAATTAGTAACATGATTGTTAGTTGAATTTGGCTTCCCCATTGACTTTGCTTGTCAGAAAGCTGCTAAAGGGGATCATATGACCCCTGGGGACACTGAAACCGTCATAAATATGAACCAGTTGGCAAGGGTCTGAATTTTAATTGTGACTGTGGGGGATGCTGCAATGGTCGGAAGTGTGAGAAATGGTCCTGAGTCACTTTTTTCTGTGCTGTAATTTTTAACGGTCATTAAATGAACCGATGTAAGTCGGCTATCTGTATGTAACTGGCACACAAGGTCTTAAAATGGCCATGTCCGTTCTGCAGCATGGGCACCCTGCCAAAATCGTACCCTCACATCTGTGTGTTTTATGTAACGATGAACATCCCCCCCCCCGGGTCAAAAGGGCTGCGGCGGAGACGGTACAAATAGTCCCTGTGGCCGCCACTCCTGCTTTTCTTCCTGGCACCAGAACTCAACTGTCCACGTTCTTTTTGTGCAGATGGTGATGGAATTTCCTGATAACATGCTAAGCCTCGATGGACATCAGCACAACGGAGCCCAGTTGAAGCAGTTCATTCAGGTACGGCAGCATCTTACTGTATGTTGCGAGATCCGAGGGCTGGGGCTTTAAAAAAAATCACAAAGATGATTAGAGCAGGGATCCCAAACCTGTGCGCTGCATCCCACTACTGGTATGTGGCCTATTCACAACCGGGCTGCGTGAATGGCTGGCTGATGGGTGTGTGCGTGTGTGTGTGTGTGTGTGTGTGTACGTGCACGAATGCTCACAGCCCCACTCATGCGAGTATCATGGGTATTCGGGGGCCTCATACGAGCGTCACAGGTGTTCTGGGCCTTGTGCAAGCTTTGTGTGCCCACTCACAGGAGCGTTACAGGTGTTCTGAGCCTCGTATGAGCTTTGTGGGCCCACTCATGGGAGCGTCACAGGCATTTGGGGGCCTTACTCATACGAGCATTACAGGCGTTCTAGGCCTCATGTGAGCTTTGTGGGCCCACTTGCACGAGCGTCACAGGCATTCGGGGGCTTTATACGAATGTCACAGGCATTCTGGGTCTCATGCAAACTTTGTGGGCCCACTCGCGTGAGCGTCATGAGCATTCAGGGGCCTCGTATGAATGGTCACAGGGGTTTGGGGCCTTGGGCGAGCTTTGTGGGCCCACTTGCGCAAGCGTCACAGGCATTCGGGGGCCTCACTCCTACGAGTGTCACAGGCGTTCTGGGCCTTTTGCGAGCTTTGTGGGCCCACTCACGTGAGCGTCACGGGCATTTGGGGGCCTCATATGAGCATCACAGGCATTCTGGGCCTCGTGGGAGCTTTGTGGGCCCACTTGTGTGAGCATTGTAGACATTCGGGGCCTCACTTTTGTGAGCAGAATAACCACTCAAGGCACTCGCAAGCTTCACAGATGCTCTCGGCCCCACTTACGCAAGGAACAGTGTCCGTGCATGTGTGCGCCATGTGCCTGCTGCACCCACAAAATCACCCCCCCCCCCCGGGCTGCCAAACCTGGAAAAGTTGGGGAATTCTGGATTAGAGGACTGGAGGCTAAAATATATGAAGAACTTGAGTTTGATCCTGGCGGGGGCTCAAGATTGACTCGGCCTTCCATCCTTCCGAGGTCGGCAAAATGAAGACCCAGATTATTGGGGGCCATAGACTGACTCTGTAAACCGCTTAGAGAGGGCTGTAAAGCGGTATATAAGTCTAAGCGCTATATATATAGCTTGTGATTTTTATATATTATTTGTTGCCACCCAGATAATGTTTGTTTAAGATGGAATGTTGCATCCAGTTTTGTCACCACAATATAAAGATGTTAAAACTCTAGAAATTGTGCAGAGAAGAGCAACAAAGATGATCAGGGGACTGGAGGCTAAAACATATAAGGAACGGTTACTGGAATTGGGTATGTCTAGTCTAATAAAGAGGAGGGGGGGACATGATAGCAGTGTTCCAGTATCTCAGGGGCTGCCACAAAGAAGAGGGAGTCAAGCTATTCTCCAACGTGCCTGAAGGCAGGACAAGAAGCAATGGATGGAAACTCATCAAAGAGGGAAACAACCTAGCACTGAGGAGAAATTTCCTGACAGGTAGAACAATTAATCAGTGGAACAACTTTGCCTCCAGAAGTGGCTGCTCCAAGACTGGAGGTTTTTAAGAAGAGACTGGACAGCCATCTGTCTGAAATGATATAGGGCAGGGGTAGGCAACTGTTATGGCTCTTTTATGACTCGTGGACTTCAACTCCCAGAATTCCTGAGCCAGAATGACTCAGCTTGGAAACTTCTCCCTTTCCCCTCAGCATGGCTGGCTCAGGAATTCTGGGAGTTGAAGTCTATGAGTCATAAAAGAGCCAAGGTTGCCTATCCCTGGCCTAGGCCTAGGCCGCTTTCTGACTCGTGGACTTCAACTCCCAGAATTCCTGAGCCAGCATGGCTCAGCTTGGAAACCTTTCCCTTTCCCTTCAGCATGGCTGGCTCAGGAATTCTGGGAGTTGAAGTCCACGAATCTTAAAAGAGCCAAGGTGGCCTACCCCTGGTATAGGGTCTCCTGCCTGAGCAGGGGGTTGGACTAGAAGACCTCCGAGGTCCCTTCCAACTCTGTTACTCTATTAAGATGCGTGGCTGTATAACTTTTGCAAATAAACATACTTTCCTACATACTTTCCTGTACTGCCCTGAACCGCTTTAAACCGCTTCCTCTTTCCCCTCTCCAGAGGCATAGCATGCTGAAGCAGCAAGATTTGAGCATCGCCATGATGGTGACGTCACGCGAAGTCCTGAGCGCCCTTTCTCAGCTTGTCCCCTGTGTCGGCTGCCGCCGTAGCGTGGAGCGCCTCTTCTCTCAGCTGGTGGAGTCCGGCAACCCCGCTCTCGAGCCCCTCACGGTTGGGTCAAAGGGAATCCTTTCTGTCACTCCGAGCTGCATGAGGGATGCCAAGAAGCTTTACACGCTTTTCTATGTGCATGGGTAAGATCACTGAGGGCCAGCATCTTGCCATATCACTCAGGACTGGGTGGGAAGATTTTTTATTTTTTATTTTTAAGAGGAAAGCCTTCATAAAGCTGTCTCCATATAAGTATCCGTCAACATACGACCGCAGTTAAGCCCAAAATTTCTGTTGTAAGCAAGACATTTGTTCAGTGAGTTTTGCTCCATTTTACGACCGTTTTTGCTGCATTTGTTATTGGAATCCCTACAGTTCTTGAGTTAGTAACATGGTTGTTAAGTGAATCTGGCTTCCCCATTGACTTTGCTTGTCAGAAAGTCGCAAAAGGGGATTGCAAGACCCCAGGACACTGCCACTATCATAAATACGAGCCAGTTGCCAAGTGCCCGATTTTTGATCACGTGACCATGGGAAGGCTGCAATGGTTGTGTGAAAACTGATAATAAGTCACTTTTTTCAGTGCCATTGTAACTTTGAATAATTACTAAATGAATGACTGTAAGGCAAGGACTACTGTATTTGTATGACCCACTAAGCTAACTTTGCTGCTAAACTGGTTAAGTCACATTGGTTGGATGCTAGGCAAGATAGCAAAACTATGGGGAGCAGTAATTTGTTCCCTATGTTCCCCTATGCCATCCATCTGGTAAACTCACAAGATTCATTTTTCTCGCCAGATATATGTATACATCTGAACTAGACTATGTTGTTTCTCTGGGCCGTATGTGTATATGGGTATATGCATAATCTTATTTATTCATTTTTGTCATGTTTATGCGGTGTATATTGGAAGTTACCCTTTGAGAACTGTATGCAACGAAATCTCATTTTAATGTATGCTGATTAGTGTACATTTAAAGTGACAATAAAGTTCTATTCTACTCTACTCTACTCTACTCTACTCCTATTCTATTCTATTCTATTCTATTCTATTCTATTCTATTCTATTCATTTGTTTTTATCCTCCATTTTCTTGGCTTTCTGCTATTAGCTGCTCATAGTTGCCATGACCCATGAGACGGATAGCATATAAATTTTAACAAATGAATAAAGTAGTAAATAACATTTAAAGCAGATTTGAGGCAGGCATAAGTCCTTAAAGAGGGGACTTGCAAAAATTGCATAAATTGTACAGTCCCGAGATAGAGGGAAGTGTGTGTGTGTGGGGGGGGGGGAATCAAGATCACCCTATCTTGATTTTTGTTTAATGTAAGATGAGATGGAGAGAAACCTGGACAGGTCTTCAAGATTCTGTTAAAAAAGTAGTTGCACTCCTGGAAAATTTATCTTACCTGTTCTTTGAATTGGCCTACCTTGAAGGGTTGACACCAGCAAACTCCACCAGGTTTTTTATTTTTATTTTTTTATAGTTTCATTTAAAAACATTTAACCTTTTCTGATCTGACCCATTTGAAGACCCTTTTGTCTCCCATTCACTTTTTATCTATTCATCCATCTCTCTTGTCTATTCATCCATCCCTCTATCTATCCGTCCATCCAGCCATCCATCTATCTATCCATCTCTCTACTATGTGCTCATTCTATCACAAAAATGAGCAACAATGGATTCTTTACAACTTGTGGACTGGCTCAGGAATTCAGGGAGTTGGTCCACAGGATGTAAAGGGGCCATAGCTACCCATCCCTGTTCTGTCAAATTTAGTGATTGCCCAATTCACCTTTTGTGCAGAATGGGAAAAGAACCATAGATACATTGGGGTAGAGTGGCCTCATTTGTGGCCACTCCAGGATTGTCTGGAGGCTGGAATAGAGAAATAACCATAGATCAGTGATGGCAAACCTTTTAGAGACCGAGTGCCCAAAACCTGCCCCCCGCTCCGCCTCCCATCCTGCCTGCTCTGCCCCCACCCGCCCCCTGCCCCGCCCACCTGCAGGGACACGCACCGCCTCCATGGCCTGCAGCAGATCACCCAGGCAGCAATGCAGCACCATGGCAGCCACGCTCTCCACCTACACCCCACAGCAGCATCTGCACGCTATGGGGTGCGAGGGTGGAGTTGTGTCCCTGCTACCCAGCTATGTCCTTGGCTGCGCTGCTCCATGTGGGCCGCACCCGGGGGCGATTCTCCTCCAGGGAGGCTGCTGGTGAGGAGGGGGCCATGGGGAGGCAGGGCTTGGGCTATGGCACGCGTGCCCACAGAGAGGGCTCCGAGTGCTGCCTCTGGCACACGTGCCATAGGTTCGCCACCACTGCCATAGATGAACCTCCGACTGCATCCTGGCGGGTCTTGATTTAGGCAAATCAGCGAATGACAAGCTATGGTTTCCTACGGGGATTATGCTACTCCTTTACCCACAGATTATTACATAGTCCACACCTAAACCTCACACTAGCCGCAATCCCAAGATAGCTGTCGACATCCTGCAAATGCAGGTAGACTTAACAACCACAATTGAGTCCAAACTTTGTGCTGCTATGCAAGACAGCTGTTAAGTGAGTTTTGCCCCATTTTACGACCTCCCTTGCCATAGTTGTTAAAGTGAATCACTGCAGTTGTTCAGTTAGTAACATGGTTGTTAAGTGAATCTGGCTTCCCCCACTGGCTTTGCTTGCCAGTAGGTCACAAGAAGGGATCACATCACTGCAACTCTCATAAATACGAGTCAGTTGCCAAGCGTCTGAATTTTGATCACCTGACCACGGGGATGCTGCAACGGTCATAAGTCTGAAAAACGGTCATAAGTCACTTTTTTCAGTGCCGTTGTAACTTCGAGCGGTCACTAAATGAACTGTTGTAAGTTGAGGACTACCTGTAGAGTCAGAGTTTATAAAAGAGCATCTGTAGTGGGACTTTGTACAAAATCATGTTCGATGGGAAATATAATGTTTGAATGGGCTTCTCCGAATTTTTTTTTTAAAGTGTTTTTTTTTCCGTTCCCCCCCCCCCCCGAAAGGTCCAAATTAAATGAAATGATTGATGCAATTCCGAAAAGTAAGAAGAACAAGCGATGCCAATTGCATTCGTTGGACACACACAAACCGAAACCCTTGGGGTAAGTGTTAATAAAAAGCACACCCACGAAACAGGTGCCAGTCTGTTGTTTTTTTGGGGCACACCTTGGGGGCACACCTTGGCAGGAAGTGGCTTAGTTGGTAAACAGCTGGACGTAGAAAAGAAGAAGAAATGGCCAAAATAATGGTGCTTTTGTGCCTGCTGGCCTCAAACCGTAATGTTAAAAAAGCAGAGTTAAAAACAGACTTTCTCTACCAATGAAAAAATAGGAGTATAAAAACCCCTGGTGAAGGTTGGCACCAGTAATTGCCCTTTGGCAATTCTTAATAGAAATCTTCCCTAGCCAGCCAACTTCGTGGGTGAAAACAAGCAATTTAACCCATTTTAGTGATATTTTTACCCCCAAAAAATGTTGTATCAGGGCAAGCATTGTGTTTATTTTTGGGTGTGCGTGCAGTTGGAAGTGACAGCATTAGGGATGTAAAATTGAATTTTTTCCCCCCTTCTACAAAACATTTTCTGGGGACCTCAGACTTCCCATATGAATGGTAATAAAAATTACAGTCAATTTTTGTAATAGAAATCAACTCTGTGGTTTCAGAGTATACAGGGAATCCTCGACTTACGATCACAACTGAGCCCAACATTTCTGTTGCTAAGTGAGGCAGCTGTTAAGTGGGTTTTGCCCCATTTCACGACCTTTCTTGCCACAGTTGGTAAGTTAATTGTTGCGGTTGTTGAGTTAGTCACACGGTTGTTAAGTGAATCTGGCTTCCCCATTGACTTTGCTTGTCAGAAAGTCACAAAAGGGGATCACAGGAACCCCCAGGACACTTCAACCGTCATAAATATGAATCGCTTGCCAAGCATCTGAATTTTGATCACATGACCATGGGGATGCTCTAACGGTCGTAAATGTGAAAAATGGTCATGTCACTTTTTTCAGTGCCATTGTAACTTTGAACGGTCACTAAATGTAGCATCGTAAGTCGAAGACTGCCTCTATACAGCAAGCTCTGACTTTTCCCTCCAGTCTCTTTTAGTGGAAACTGAATTTTAACTCATCTTCGGTGGCAGGGAGGCATGTTTTTAAGCATTATGATTCACGCTTATGGGGCTGTTCAGTGGTTACCAAATTTCCAGGCCTGTTTGGCTTTCTTCTTCTTCTGTTAATTGCTCTGCGTGGCTCCTTTGATGCCGTTATGGGGCCTTGTGCTTTTATTTTTGTCGATTAGTTGAGCAGAGTACAATAACCGCAGACGGAGGCCTGGTTGTTCCACACTTGTGGCACATTCAATTTTCTGTTCTGTGAGGGTTTAAAATGTGGGTCCGTGAAGGGCCAGGGAGGCCTAAGGATCCACAAAAGAAATGCATCCATTGACCCAGTGGTAATACATCTGAATTCTTCTTTTAATGCTGTATACCCTAGCGAAGGGAACGGTAGCACCCCGAGCACAGAGAAGTTAGGTGCAGATAAAAGATCTAGCGAAGAAGACAGGAAGGAGAGCAAGTGTAGGATCACTTTCTACTGCGGACCTTTCCAGGGAACCAGCAGGTAAATCATACCGGAAAATATTGAATTGTTTGCTTCTTAAATAGGGTGACACGGTGGCTCAGTGGGTTAAGATGCTGGGCTCGTCGGCTGGAAAGCCAGCAGCCCAGGTTCAAGAGCCACACAACAGGGGCGAGCTCCTGTCCTCACCTCAGTTCCTGCCAACCAATTCCCGGTAGTCTTTGACTTATGACCACAACTGAGGTCAAAATGTCTGTTGCGAAGTGAGACATTTGTTAAATGAGTTTGCCTCATTTTGCAATCTTTCTTGATACAGTTGTTAAGCGAATCACTGCAGCTGTTAAGTTAGTAGCACAGTTGTTAAGGGAATCTGGCTTCCCCCATTGACTTTGCTTGTCAGAAGGGGACACTAGAACCATAATCAAATATGAGCCAGTTGCCAAGCGTCTGAATTTTGATCGCGTGACCAATGGGGATGCTGCAAAGATCATAAGTGTGAAAAACGGCCGTAAGTTAGGTTTTTCAGCACTGTCGTAACTTCGGTCACTACATGAACTGTTGTAAGTCGAGGACTACCTGAAATAGGTACCACTTCGTTGGGAATCTAACAGCGTTCCATGGCATCACACTGGCCACACGACCGAGGAAATGTTTTCGGATAGCACTGGTTCAGTGGCCTTGAAACAGATTGATCACCACTCCTGATCGTCAGCAGCTATTAGCGGAGTAAAATGTACAGGGACTCCTTTATCCTTTTTGATTGTTTCTTAAACACCCGGTTGCGTAGATTTCATGCAAAAACCAGGTAAAACAGAACACAAATGCTGCCCATAATTTTCGAAGGGCCAAAATTATAATGATTTAAAAAAAACCCCAACACTGTAAAAAACAGCAATAAGCAAGAAATTGAGAAGTTTGACGTTACTAGTCCTAAGTCACTTTTTTCCTGTGCCGTTCTAACTTCAAACACTCACCAAATGAATGGTTGTAAACCGAGGACTACCTATATGGTCATAAGTCATAATGTTCATAAAATGGGGTCAGTCATGTGACCGACCTGATTTTATGGCTTTTTTGCCAGCAGTTCTTCAGCAAACACACCGTTAGCTTTTGTGTGGTTTTGCCAAAACCTGGAAGGAAGTGCTGTTTTTCAGCAAAATCATTGTAAAATGCAGTCCTGGGGCCGTGGGACATGTCGAACAACCTTAAATGTGTCCGTGTTATTGAGGGTCCAAAATATAGTCATGTGACTGGGGGGTGATCATTGAAACTTTGGATTCTAGTCATAAATCCTCTTTTCCGGTTCTGCTAAAACTTCAAATGATTGTTAAATCACCAGTCATAAGTCAAGGGGTCCCTATAAATCGGGTTGGCAACCTTGGCTCTTTTATGACTAGTGGACTTCAACTCCCAGAATTCCTGAGCCAGCCATGCTGAGGGGAAAGAGTGTTTCCAAGATGAGCCATGCTGGCTCAGGAATTCTGGGAGTTGAAGTCCATGAGTCGTAAAAGAGCCAAGGTTCTCTCCCCCTGGCCTAGATCAGTAGTAGGAAACCTTGGCTCTTTTATGACTCGTGGACTTCAACTCCCAGAATTCCTGAGCCAGACATGCTGAGGGGAAAGAGAGTGTTTCCAAGCTGAGCCATGCTGGCTCAGGAATTCTGGGAGTTGAAGTCCACGAGTCATAAAAAAGCCAAGGTTGCCTAGCCCTGCTATAGATGAAAACCAACCTCTCGCAAGCTATTGGAAACTGTTAGGTTTCCCTGATATGTGAATGCCGCAGAACCTGGTTACAGTATTCGATTCTCCCCCCCCCCCTGAGTATGGGATGCAGCCCGTTGCGTCGCTGTGCTGAATGTGGGTGTGTGTGGCTTTGTGGTCTTTTCTCCAGCTTGTACAGGTTTTACATTTTTGTGTATTTTTTGTAATATTGAATGCCACCCAGACGCAGGTGAGGTGGATGGCCATATAAATTCCCTAAATAAATATTCTCTCTCTCTCTCTCTCTCTCTCTCTCTCTCTCTCTCTCTCTTTTTTCTCTCTCTTCAGAGGCTGCTGGATGGATATATGGGAACTCATGTCCCAGGAATGTCGAGATGAAGTAGTCTTAATCGATTCTAATTGTCTGTTAGAAACACTAGAAACATACCTCCGGAAGCACAGGTGAGTGGCTGGGATTGGAAACGGCCTTTTCCTTCTCTCCGTACTCGGCATTTTACTCCGCGTGGTCAGTAAAGGAGCGTCTGGGGGTGGATTCAAAGGAACTGAATCCAGTTATAGAAACTTTGAAGGAAGTCAACCCTGCCTGTTCTTTGGAAGGACAGAGCCCGAAGATCAAATACTTTGGCCACCAAATGGGAAGGCAGGACTCCTTGGAGAAGACCCTGATATTGGGAAAAGATGGAAGGCTAAAGGAGAAGGGACCGCAGACAGTGGTTGGATTGAAATATGTGAGCAACCGGCTCTCTGTGTGGATGCCGCTGCCGGAAGTCTATTCTGGGCCTGGGCAACAAAAAATTAGCTACCGGTTCTGCCAAAGTGATGCGAACCGGCTGAATCCCACCACTGACCACAGAGCATGAGGTGGTTAGATAGTGTCATGGACACAAGGAATGTGAATTTGGGCCTGGCATGTTGTGGTCTGTGGGATTGTGAAGAATCAGACACGACTCAGCGTCTGAATAACAACTCGACAGTTTTTAATTTTTTTTTTAGATTATTTTGATCAGCCTCTCAGGAGCCTACAAACTCTTTTACTGGTTGTCCTCGACTTACGACCAGCATTGCGCTAAAACAGTGGTTCTCAACCTATGGGTCGGGACCCCATTTGGGGTCGAACGACCATTTCACGGGGGTCACCAAACAACGCAGTCTGCCATTTTTTTCCCCTTTTCCTTAGCTGTGCTACTCCCTTTTATTCTATTGGCTTTTGAAAGCCAATAGAATAGACTCTCTTGAATAGAGTCTAATTCTATTGGCTTTCAAAAGCCAATAGGAATTGTTCAGGCTGTCTCTGCCCTGCTGAGCCTGCCAAAAGTCCCATTCTGCAAACGGTGCTGCACCAGTTGAGTAGTCCTCGACTTACAACCGGTTGAGTAGTCCTCGACTTACGACCGGTTTGGGGTCGCAGCATTAAAAAGGTTGAGAACCACTGCGCTAAAACATTCTGTTGCAAAGCAAGACAGTTGTTAAGTGAGTTTTGCCCGATATCACGATCTCTCTTTCCACAATTGTTAAATGCATCACTGCACTCGTTAAGTTATTAAGTGAATCTGCTTCTCCCTGGACTCCCTATATATTTCAAAATGAGGACCCAGACTGTTGGGAGCAATGTGCTGACTCTAAACCGCTTAGAGAGGGCTGTAAAGCACTATGTATATAAGTCTAAGTGCTATTGCTGTTGCTATTTTTCGGTGCGGTTGTAACTCTGGACAGTCACTAAACAAATGATTGTAAGTCGAGGACAACCTGTACATCCAATTATTGATCACCATGAAAACTGCATCTGGCAAATGTGTTTCCATCAAGGATTTCTCCCTTAAAACATGTCTTTCTATCAAGTAGTTTCCCTCTTTTTAAAAAAAAAAAAAAAGACATGCTGTAATTCCCTTTTTTGAACTAGGTTTTTTAAAAAAACATACTCTAGTTCCCTTTTCTAAACTAGGTTTTAAAAAAGACAAACTCTAATTCCCTTTTCTGAACTAGGTTTTAAAAAAAGACATATTATAAAAGACATACTATAATTCCTTTTTTTTTTTCCTGAACTAGGTTTTGCACCGACTGCAAAAACAAAGTCTTGCGGGCTTACACCATCCTGATCGGCGAGCTGGACTGCAGCAAGGAGAAAGGTTATTGTGCCACCCTTTATGAAGGCCTGCGCTGCTGCCCCCACGAGCACCACATTCATGTCTGCTGCGAGACCGACTTCATCGCCCACCTCCTCGGCCGAGCCGAACCCGAGTTTGCAGGAGGGTATGAGTATGTAATTGGCTAGACTGGGCTTTCTAGCGCTTTTGCTTCTATTTCTCAAAGAAAATGTATATTTCTGTCTCGAAGATATACATTGTGAGAGCGGGTCTGCCGCACCTCCCTCTCGGCCTGCCATGCTGCTGGCCCTCGTTGACTCAAGGGGCCTTCTGAGTGGCTTTGCTTGGTGCTGCTGGGACCTGCGTTCGCCACACAAGCCAAAGAAACGATTTCCTTTGCAAGCAGTGGTTTTATAAGGGGTTCTCTGGGGAATCTCTTTTCTCAATCTGCCTGCAATCCAGTTTAGTCTAGTGCAGGAGTCTTCAAACCTGGCCCTTTTATGGCTTGTGGACTTCAACTCCCAGAATTCCTCAGCCAGCATGCCTAGCTGAAGAATTCTGGGAGTTGACATCCACAAGTCTTTTATGACTCGTGGACTTCAATTCCCAAAATTCCTGAGCCAGCCATAAGTCCACGAGTCATAAAAGAGCCAAGGTTGCCTACCCCTGCTCTAACTCAACCAGTGAACTATCCTACAACTTGGCAGCAAGCCATTTTCATTTCAAAATGCTTCTGATGGTGTTGCCATGACCCGTTTCAACAGGAACAATCCGTGAAGTGGGTATGTGGGGGCCTCTTAACAATGCTCCGAGCTCTAAGCACATATAAGTGCTTATAAGCAGCATCCCAAATACCAGGAAGCGAGCTTCTTATGATCTTCTCGGCTGTCCTTACCACTCTCTGTATGGACCTTCCATCTGAGGCTCTGCTGCCACCAAACCAGACAGTGATGCAGTTTGTTAAGACGCTCTCCATGGTGCCTCTGTAAAAAAGGGGCCAGGATAGAAGGAGAAAGATGTGCTCTCCCAAATAAGCAGACCCACAGATAGGTGTCACTAATGTGTTTATTAAAACAAGTTTGCTGTCCTGTTTTTCCATTTAAAAATGAAAAAGAAGGTTCAATTCCCCCCCCCCAAAAAAAACTACCTTTACCAGCATGGTTTATGAGATGAGTAAATGAATATTTTTTTTTTTTGCATGGATTCCTTTTGAAAAGTAATTTGGGCTTTCCAAATTGGCTTAAGCTGTTTGCACCAACTGCTCCAGGGATCGGTTGCTTGTTCTGTCTCTCCCTTGTGGTACCCAGGCAGTCCTTGACTTATAATCAATAGTTTAGTGATTGGAGTTAACAACAGCACTGGGAAAAAGTCACTTAGGACCAGTGGTGGGATTCAAAGATGTGAACAACTGGTTCTCTCTGAGGATGCCGATTCCGGAAGTCCATTCTGGACAGCAAAAAATTAGCTACTGGTTCTGCCAAAGTGGTGCGAACCGGCTGACTTCCACCACTGCTTAGGACCGTTTTTTAACATTTATGGCTTCCAGTGCCAGAATTCTTTGCAATGGCCATGCGGTCAGTGGAATCCTGGGAGTTGAAGTCCACCAAGACAGAAATGGCCAAGGTTGGGAAACACTGCTCTAAAGCAGAAGTCTTCAAACTTGGCCCTTTCATGACTTGTGGACTTTAATTCCCAGATTTCCTCAGCCAGGCACGCCTGGCTGAGGAATTCTGGTAGTTGAAGTCCACAAGTCATCAAAGGGCCAAGTTTGAAGACTCCTGCTCTAAAGCAGTGGTTCTCAACCTGTGGGTCGGGACTCCATTTGGGGTCAAACGACCATTTCACGGGGGTCGCCAAACAAGGCTGTCCGCCATTTTTTTCCCCTTTCCCTTAGCTGTGCTACTCCCTTTTATTCTATTGGCTTTTGAAAGCCAATAGAATAGACTCTCTTAAATAGAGTCTAATTCTATTGGCTTTCAAAAGCCAATAGGAATTGTCCAGGCTGTCTTTGCCCTGCTGAGCCCGCCAAAAGTCCCATTCTGCAAATGGTGCTGCACCAGTTGAGTAGTCCTCGACTTACGACCGGTTGAGTAGTCCTCGACTTACCACCGGTTGGGGGTCGCGGCATTAAAAAGGTTGAGAATCACTGCTCTAAAGGGATACAAACTCACCAATTAGAAATGAATTTTCATCGGAAATTAAACAGCCCCGTTGGGGATCACTTCTCCAGTGGCTGGAGAGAAGAGATATTGAGAGGGACAAGTTGGCAGGCCCAACATCACGATCCACGGCCCATCCCTCATATCCATACACCAGCACTGCAAAGATCCATGAAAAGGGTGGGGCTTGGATGATAGGTGGAATTTTGGTCCCTAAGCGATGCAGTTATTAAGTGAGTCAGCACACGATTGGATCCGATTTTATAACTATTTTTATCCCAAACATTAAACCAGGGGTTCTCAACCTTGGCAACTTTAAGACTTGTGGACTTCAACTCCCACAAAGCTGGCTGAGGAATTCTGGGAGTTGAAGTCCACAAGTCTTAAAGTTGCCAAGGTTGAGAACCCTTGCATTAAACGAATAAAAGAAACAAACAAGCAAGCAAGCAGACGAATCCTGTGGTCATTCAGGGAATCACATGGTCCTTAATCAAATCCGGCTTCCCCAGTTGATTTTGTGGCCAGGAAGGTGGCAAATCACGATCGTGGGACCGTGACACAGTTCATCCAGTCATAAATGGGAGTCCGTTGCCATCCGAATTGCAATCGTGTGACTTCAGGGGTGGGGCAATGATCATAGGACGGGCCGTAAGTTGTTTTTTTGTGTTGGTTTTTTTTTTGAGGCTGTCGTAAGTTTGAACCATCATTAAACGAACGGTCCCGAGTCAAGGACTACCTGGACATACAGGTTACGAAAAGCCAGTGCTGAGAACTCCTAAAAATAAGTTTGAGTTACAAAAGGAGAATTGTCTGCTTTAGGACCCCCTTGCCATGTTTCCACGTTTCTTTTTTTGTTTCCTCCAGGAGACGAGAAAGACATGCGAAGACAATAGACATTGCCCAAGAAGAGGTTCTGACCTGCTTGGGCATCCACCTTTATGAACGGCTGCACCGCATCTGGCAGAAGCTGCGGGCCGAGGAACAGACGTGGCAGATGCTTTTCTATCTGGGAGTCGATGCTTTACGCAAAAGCTTTGAGGTAGCCTCTCTGTTTCCTCGTTTACCTGGAGGGAAAGAAACAGGAAACGTTCTTCGTGACCTTTCTTGGTGATCCCTGGGAATAGAAATCGGCTTCTCTGGGCTTTCAAAATCCCTGCTTTCTCCCTTAAAGAATCTTGTTACCAATAGAAGAGAATATTTGTGGCTCAAGGATGAATTATGGAGCCCTTGGCGCTCTCTGAGCTTGGTCGTTTCCTTGCAGATGTCTCATTACCCAGCTAGGTAACATCATCAGTGCTAGAAGGGGGTGGGAAGAGAGCAAACCCCACTACCTTCTAGTACTGGTGATGCTGCCTAGCTGGATAATGAAACACCTGCCAGAAAACAGCCAAGCTCAGAGATAATCAAGGACTCCACATTATAGTTCCCAAAATCAGGGCTCTGGTAGCATTTTTTCCACCAACCTCACAATTGTTATTCAAAGGCATCAGCTTTTTAATAAAATGTGTTAATCAGAAATGATGCTACCAGACTCCTCCTGGTTTTTTTTTTTTTCTTGAAACACTGCACTATAGCGTGGCAAACAAATGGTTGCCCAATCTGTTCTTCATATCCCCCTGGGTTGGAGCACCTACAGCTTCTGGTGGCAAGCTGTTCCACTGGTTAATTGTTCTCACTGTCGGGAAATTTCTCCTTAGTTCTAGGTTTGTGTTTTATTCTATGAGCCAATAAAATGTTAAAAATTGGGGGGAGGGAGGAGCAAAAGGCCACTTTTATGCTGCCCCACTGATCGCCGTCTTTCTCCGCAGATGGCAGTGGAGCGGGTGCAAGGCATCAGCCGTCTGGAGCAGCTGTGTGAAGAGTTTTCCGAAGAGGAGAGGGTGCGGGAACTCAAGCAGGAGAAGAAGCGCCAGAAACGGAAGAATCGGAGGAAAAATAAATGCGTCTGCGAGATCCCTGCTCCTTTGCAAGTGATGGAGGAGAAGGACATGCGGAGCCAAGAAAAGGTGAGGGATGCTGAGCTCCTGCTCCATGGATCCGGAATCAGAATAGAGCTGGAAGGGACCTTGGAGGTCATCTAATCCAGTCTCTCCTGCCTGGTTTTGAAGTTCTGGGAGAGGCGGACTTCCTCAGCTTGTTTTCTCCCGAATTGAATAGAATAGAGCTGGAAGGGACCTTGGAGGTCTCCTAGTCCAGCCCCCTGCCCAAGCAGGAGAACCCATACCACCTCAGACAAGTGACTGTCTAGTCCAGTGGTCCTCAACCTTTTTAATGCCACGACCCCCAACCGGTCGTATGTCGAGGACTACCCAACCGATCGTAAGTCAAGGACTTTCCTGTCTGGGAGCACCACGCATGCGTGGTGCCGCCCCCTGCGCCGGCTGAGGCGTAGCTGGCAAGCGGCAGAGAAGGCGCAGGCCGACCACCGGCTGGGCCACCAGCTGGCCCAGCCCAAGGGAGGTAAAGCACCTGCCGGGCCCCACGCGCGCCAGCAACCCTCCCTGCGCCCGCCGGCCTCCCACCTCCCACCCTTGGCCCTCTTTTACTTACATTTTTAGTAGTTGCTCAGCAGGGAGGAGTGGAAGCTTCCAGACAACTTGCAGCACCGTTTGCAGAATGGGACTTTTGATGGGCTCAGCAGGGCAGAGACAGCCTGGACAATTCCTATTGGCTTTTGAAAGCCAATAGAATTAGACTCTATTCAAGAGAGTCTATTCTATTGGCTTTCAAAAGCCAATAGAATAAAAGGGAGTAGCACAGCTAAGGAAAAGGGGGAAAAAATGGCGGACTGCGTTGTTTGGCGACCCCCGTGAAATGGTCGTTCGACCCCAAATGGGGTCCCGACCTACAGGTTGAGAACCACTGGTCTAGTCTCTTCTTAAAAACCTCCAGTGATGGAGCACCTATAACTTCTGGTGGCAAGCTGTTCCACTAGTTGATTGTCCTCACTGTCAGGAAGTGTCTCCTTAATTCCAGGTTGCTTCCCTCTTTGATCAGCTTCCAACCATTGTTTCTCGTCCTTCTCTCTGGTGCTTTGGTGAACAACCTGACCCTCTGCCTTTTGGCAGCCCCTCAGATACTGGAATACAGCTATCGCATCTCCCCTATTTCTTCTTTTCTTTAGATTAGCCAAAAATTGAAGACATTTCGCATCTCATCCAAGAAGCTTCTTCAGCTCTGACTGGATGGTGGGGAATGGGAAGATTTATATTCTTTTCAGACAGCTGGTCATTTGCCTTCTTTTAGAGAGTCCTTGAGGCCACTTGGAGGTTTGTCTGTGTCCACATTCTGGACAGAGAGGACCACTGGTTTGAAAGAGAGGGTCAAAGAGGCCATCTGTGTCAACAGGGGGAAGGATACGACAACATCAATCTTCAGTCTACAACACAGTCCTTTCAGCAGTTCCAGGAAGGCTCCCCACCCATTTGCATGACTCATATAAGGACACAGATAAACCTCCAGGTGGCCTCAATGACTCTCTAAAAGAAGGCAAATGACCAGCTGTCTTCAAGGAGTATAAATCCTTCCATTCCCCACCCTCCAGTCAGAGCTGAAGAAGCTTCTTGGATGAGAAGCGAAACGTCTTCAAAGATAAAACCAGAAAGTCCACTTGCCTCCTGGAAAAGCATCTTTGGGACAACCCTGACCTGAATCTCCATAGCCAAACAGTTGCCCCAAATGTAATCATGTGATTGCTGGTTTGTGTGCGCAGCCATCATAATTTTGAAAATGGGTTGCAAGTAGTTTGCTGGGTCCCTTGTCACTCTGGATGGTCGTTAAAGGACCAGCCATAAGTTGGGGACCACCAGTAGCTGTTGGCAGCTTTTCTACATAGTCCCAGCATTTCCCAGTTTTCCCAAGGATGCTCTAAGGCAGGGGTCTTCAAACTTGGCCCTTTTATGACTTCTGGACTTCATCTCCCAGAATTCCTCAGCCAGGCACGCTGGGAGTTGAAGTCCACAAGTCATAAAAGGGCCAAGTTTGAAGATCCCTGCCCTAAGGAACATCCTCAAGTGACATGATCCCTCATTTGAGAGAGCTGAGGTGGCGCAGCAGTTAAGAGTGCAGTACTGCAGGCCACTTTAGCTGACTGTGTTCAGCAGGTCAGCGGTTCAAATCTCACCGGCTCAAGGTTGACTCAGCCTTCCATCCTTCCGGGGTAGGTAAAATGAGGACCCAGATTGTTGGGGGCAATGTAAATATATATATATACATTGGTTACTGATGTACACTGCTTAGAGAGTGCTTGCATTTAAAGCGGTATATAAGTCTCATAAATAAATAAATTTGCAGCGGCTGGATCTCTGGGCACACAAATCGCTGCCTGCTTGCGCACACGAGCCGGGCGTGGCGTTGACATTCCTTCCTGTCTCTTTGAAGGAAAATTTCTTGGAAAGCGGCTGCACAGCCTGCGGCAACACGGAAGAGCAGAGCAGCTGCGTCGAGGTCATTGTGACCAACGCAAATGCTTCTTGCACTTGTCCCACTGGTGGCGCTTTACCGGGTTCACCTAAAATAAAGAAAGGTAGGTCAAACCAGCTCTTGGGGGGGGGGCTGAGGGCGGGGGATCAAGTTCTGGTTAAATAACCAAATTGATTGGTTGATGTGGGGTTCTTGGTGCTTCTGAGCTTGATTTTTGTTAGTGTGTGTGTGTGTGTGTGTGTGTGTGTGTACGTGTGTACGCGCGCAAATGTTTCATGACCCAACTAGGTAACATCATCCGTGCTAGAAGGGAGAAGGGTTTGCACTGTTTATGCATAAAATGGCTTGCCCAGTCAATGTTGGTGGGTGTGTCCTTGCTGCTTCCTAGATGAGGCTGTTGTTTAATGATAGTTTGAGTTGGTCGTTCCTTGATTGGGGTATCATTTACTATGGGGTCTTTGGTGGTCTCTTAACCTGGTTGTTTTCTTGCAGACATTTCATTTCCTAACTAGGTAACATCATCAGTGCTAGAAGGGAATGGGGGTTGCAGATAGGAGGAGCAGAAAGGACTGTGGGATCCTTGGGGCTGTCTCTGAGCTTGGTGGTTTTCTTGCAGACGTTTCGGGACCCAACTAGGTAACATCATCAGTGCTAGAAGGAAGTGTTTATATACAGAGGAACTACCAACTCAGACAAGCAATCAAGTGGTAAACAACAGCCTAATTAAGGAACCACCAAGACCACTCCCACCAACACTGACAAGGGAAGCAACTGATCATTAAGCAAGGACCACCTGCATAACATTATATTTCATGTTTGTGCACTTTTATATCTTAAGCAGGAGTCTTCAAACTTGGCCTTTTTATGACTTGTGAACTTCAATTCCCAGAATTCCTCAGCCAGGCACACGTGCCTGGCTGAGGAATTCTGGGAATTGAAGTCCATAAGTCATAAAAGGGCCAAGTTTGAAGACCCCCTGATCCGAAGTGTTCTCAAGAAAGAAGTACCTCTGGCAGTCAAGAACAATAAATAAAAGGCAAAGAAAATAATAACACTTGTGGCTTTTTACGAGTTCCCATTTCACAGCTGCCGGGAGGGTGAGGTTTTGTTTTTAATTTCAGTTCACCGCAATTCAGTTTTGTGGCCAAATTCTCCGCTGTGGTTCAAGTTGACTGTGGTTGTTTGGAACAGTCTTAAGCTTGGGTATTTTTGGTGTGGGGTTGTTGTTGTTTTTTGGGGGGGGGGTAATAAAAAACTTGGATTGTCCAAGTGTTATGTTTGGCTGACGCAAGCTGCAGTGAATCAGAAACGGAAAAGAAAGCCTTTTTTATTCCTTGTGGCTCTGCCAGGGAAGAACAAAATCTCTGAATTTACAGGGATGGTATAATCTAGCCATGCTGCTATTATGATAAAGCAGGATTATGGAACCTGTGGTCCTTCAGATTCTGTTGAATTCAAGCCAATACAGACTTTTGGGGCCATGAGTATTTTACTTGTGTGTTTAACTGAACATGCAATAGATTCAAACCAAATCCAGCAGGCTTTTCTGCCAGTGGGTACTCCTGTACACTTGACATACCATTCTACAGTCGTGGCCAAAATTGTGGAAACCTTTTGGGGAAAGCGTATTTTTGAGGTTTGATGGCTAATAACACCACTTTTTTTTGGAGTAGTACCATAAAATTATATATCCATGAAAAGATAATTTAATCAAGAATGTAACGCAACAAAGTTTGTTCAATTATCTGTACTGTACTCTATGAAAAGTTATAGCCAGATAACCAGAAAAAGGAAGCACAACTTGCTTAGGTTGATATCGGGTAGCTTCCCTTCATCTGATTGTAGCCAATGAGCATGAATGTTTAGAGAGCCAACCGGGTGTCATCTTGTTTTGGCAATGAGCCAATCAGATCACGGCAGGATTCAGTTATTGATGTCCTGTATTGAAGCTGAGAGGAGGACATTTGTCAGTGTGTTATGTGATCGCTATCAAGTTGGTTGGATTTTTTTGCGTTCTTTCATTGAGTGAGCTTATAAAACGTAATAAAATTAAAGTCACGGTGCAAAGAGTTGACCGATTGCCCAGAAAACAATGTAAAATAGCATTATTAAGTGAACAAGGCTACAGTTATAAAGAAATTAGAAGAAAAAGTGGTGGAAACTTAACCAAAGGTGGCATTTATACTGTACACTTTTCCTAAAAGGTTTCTACAGTTTTGGCTACTACTGGACACACACACATACACAAACACACGCGCGCGCGCACACACACACACACACACACCAGTTTGGTCTAGTGGTTATGGCACCAGGCTAGAAACCAGGAAACTAAAAGTTCTAGTTCAGCCATGGAAGTCAGCCGGGTAACTTTGGGCCAATCACAAAACTGTGAGTTCTAGTCCCATCTTAGACATGAAAGCTAGTTGGGTGATTTTGGGCCAATCACCAGAAGAGAGTGAGTTCTAGTCCCACCTTAGTCATGAAAGATGGCTGAGTGACTTTGCCACCTTGAGTTAATTCTAAAAATAATACAAGGCACGATACAAATAAAGAAATCAAAATAAATGTACATCCATACAATACACACAGACAAAATGGCGGCCAAAATAGATCTTTCAACAACAGGGCTACCTTTTGACATTTATAAAATTTAAAATTATAAAATTTAAAATTGTATACGTTAGAGCAGGGGGCCCCAGGGCCCTGGATCACTAGCAGGCCGTGAGGGGTTTGCAAGCGGGCCACAGAAATGGCTGGAGAGTGCGCGCGGGCGAACGTGCGCACTCCATTTAAGTGAGCAGCAGGCGCGTGTATACGCCGCTCACACAAATGGACCTGCACGAGCCCGCTTGCCGGCCACTTGCGTGGAACCATCCCTTCTCCCCCCCCCCCCGACTGTTCCGCAAAGCTGGAAACGTTGGGGAACTCCTTGTTACGGATGAATGGATTCCCATCTGGTGGGGTATCTTACAAGGCTGGCCTGTGTCTTTGGACATTCGTGCGAACAGTGCCTACATCTCTTCCAGGTTTATCTGCTCACTGTAATGGCAGCGATTGTGGCTATTCTTCCAGCATGGAAGGCAGCGAAACTGGTTCACGGGAGGGTTCGGACATCGCTTGCACCGAAGGGATTTGCAACCACGATGAAAATGGTAGGAATACCGTTAAAAGGGTCTGTGGGGCTTCTCCTTTTTCCGGTCTCCCCCCCCCCCCCTTTGGGAGTCTCTTCCAAAAATCAAGACTGACTTAAAGGCACATCAGAAAAAGAAAAAGTTTTGAGGAAGTGCTAACCCCTAAAGGTGGCCGTGATGCAGATGGTGTATTGATCTAGAGCAGTGGTTCTTAACCTTTTTGAACGAATCGCCCCCTTGAGCCAATGAGGAAGTTGTCATCGCCCCCCTCCCCCAACATAACCTCTCAGTCACAACCTAGGAAATAATTCTTCCATTTATGCAAACACTTGTTTTCTTTTCTTTAAAATTGTCATCAGGACATATCGATGCAAATAATTTATTTCCAGTCTTTTTCCCATATCTCCCATATTCTGGCCAATGGCGCACCACTGTATGGGTAGAGGCTGCTGCGCAATGCGCATGAAGATAAGTGATGCATTTTCACATATGTACGGCGTTCTGTACTGAAGCTAGCTGGAGGAACATTTGGAAACACAATTCAATCCACTAATAGCGATCATCTGATGTTTTTGTACGACAGATATACAGCGATTCACTGTACGAAAAAGTCTCAAAAGTGTCCCCAAAACCTCTTGCTCCATCGCCCCCATATCGCCCCCCTTTCGTTCCTTCGCACCCTTGAAAAACGAAATTGCCCCCTGGGGGGCAATATCGCCCAGGTTAAGAACCACTGATTCTAGTGGATTGATCTGTCCTTACTCCCCATTCTTGACCTATTTAGTCTGCCACATTGTGTGCTTCAGTGGAATCGCCAGAACTGAGTTCTAGTCTAGCTTAGCTTGAAAGGGCCAATCACAAGGAGATGGTGAGTTTTAGTCCTGTTTAACATGAGAGGTGGGTGGGTGACTTTGGGCCAATCACCAGGAGGTGGTGAATTCGAATCCTGCCTTAGCCATGAAAGCCAACTGAGTGACTTTGGGCCAGTCACCAGGAGACGGTGAGTTGTAGTTCTGTCTTAGCAAGAAAGCCGGCTGGGAAACTGGACCAGTCACCAGGAGACGGTGAGTTCTAGTCTGGTTTAGCATGAAAGACAGTTCAGTGACTTTGGGCCAATCATAAGGCGACAGTAATTTCTAGTCCCGCTTTAGCATGAAAGACAGGTGAGTGGCTTTGGGCCAATCACCAGGAGGTGGTGAATTCGAATCCTGCCTTAGCGTGAAAGCCAGGTGGGTGCCTTTGGGCCAATCACTAGGAGACTGTGAGTTCTAGTCTGCCTTAGCCATGACAAAAAAAGTCCAGTTGCCTCCTGAAAAAGCACCTTTCGGGCAACCATGACCTGGAAGAACCGAGAATCTCCATAGACAAGTAGATAAGGCTCAAAGGCCACTCGGGGGAGGTCAAACCTCTTTGCCCTCTTGTGTCTACATAATGAGTCCAGGCTAATTCCCTGTTTGATCCCGACTGCAGAGGTTGCTTTCCGACATCGGAGCACGATTTGGATGGAAGGCATAGCTTCTGGGGGGGGGGCTATCTCCTCCCCACTCCACTCTAGCCTCTCTCTCTCTTTCTTGCAGGGGAAGATTCGTGCATTCACCGTTGCGAAGACAAAGAAGAGGATGGGGACAGTTGCGTGGAATGCTGGGCAAATTCGGAAGACGCTACCACGAAAGGCAAAAACAAGAAGAAGAAAAAGAAAAACAAGAAGTGCGAAGCTGAGCACGTAAGCGGGGGAGGGGCATTTCGGGGTCAGGGTTTTTGTCGGCCAGCTTCCCCCCCCCCCCCCGACCTCTTTCCTCCCCTCACATGTCATTCCCACAGCTCCCTTAACCAGGGCGAGGGCAGTAGGTGACCCAGCTGGGAGTTCAGCATCGTTGTTGAAGAAAAGCTGTCCAACTTTGTTAGTGTGATTTTTTTTTTTTGATTTTTTTTTTTTTAAAAGGAGACAATGAAGCCGGTTAATGAGGAACCGGATTAGCCATAAATTAATATTTGGCATTTATGAATAAAGTGGCAGTTGGTTAGAGGTGTGGATAAACGGATGAGAGGAATGTCTCCTTTGTGTTTAAATCTCAGGGGAAATGAATGGAAGCAGTTTTTAATAAAACCAAACCAAACAAGGCAATGTTTCTCAGTCTTGGCAAGTTACAATCATCATCATCATCAAGTTGGAAGGGACCTTGGAGGTCATCTAGTCTGACCCCCTGCTCAGGCAGAAAACCCTATACCATTTCGGGCAAGTGGCTGTCCAGTCTCTTAAAAACCTCCAGTGTTGGCACATTCACTGCTTCTGGAGGCAGGTTGTTCCACTGGTTAATTGTTCTCACTGTCAGGAACTTTCTCCTTAGTTCTAGGTTGCTTCTCTCCTTGATGAGTTTCCATCCGTTGCTTCTTATCCTGCCTTCAGGCGCCTTGGAGAATAGCTTGACTCCCTCTTTTTTGGGGCAGCCCCTGAGATATTGGAACACTGCTATCATATTACCTACCCCTAGTCCAGTGATGGCGAACCTTTTAGAGACTGAGTGGCCAAAAACTGGCCCTGCCCCGCCCCCGCCCTTCCTGCCCGCAGGGCCCGCCTCCAGGGCCCGCCACAGATCGCCCAGGAAGCCCAATAGCACCATGGCAGCCACACCCTCTGCCCGCGCCCCACAGCATCAACTGTGCGCGATTGGTGTGAGGGCAGAGTCTTGTCTACGCTGCCTGGCTGCCATGTCCTTGGCTGCGCTGCTCCGTGAGGGCCACACTCGGGGGGGGTGACTCTCCTCCAGGAGGGCTGCTAGTGAGGAGGGGGTCGCGGGGGGAGACAAGGCTGGGGCAACAGCATGTGTGCCCACAGACAGGGCTCCGAGTGCCGCCTCTAGCACTCGTGCCGTAGGTTCGCCACCACTGCCCTCGTCCTTCTCTTCATTAAACTAGACATACCCAATTCCTGCAGCTGTTCCTTATATGTTTTAGCCTCCAACCCCCTTGATCATCTTTGTTGCTCTTCTCTACACTTTTTCTAGAGTCTCAACATCTTTTTTATATGCTGGCTCAGGAATTCTGGGAGTTGAAGTTCACGAGTCATAAAAGAGCCAAGGTTGCCTACCTGGTATAAGGTTTCCTGCCTGAGCAGGGGGTTGGACTAGATGACCTCCAAGGTCCCTTCCAACTTTATTGTTGTTGTTATTATCATCATCATCCCCTTTGCAATTTTATTGGTCGATTGGTTGGTTCAATTCATTTTAGAAGGCCGCCTCGTGTCAAAGCAGCTGAGGGTTTTAAAATGTCTCGTAAAGGGAAGGGATAAATGTAATAATAAGGCCTTGGAGAATATAAAAATGAAATGATCAAAGAGTTATCTGTTTGCTAATTGCCTTGGCCCTGGCCCAGCTGGAAGAGCCAAGTTTTAAAAGCTTTCCTAAAAAGGCAGAGCCCAGATGCAGCTCCAAGGGAATTCAGCTCTGAGGGAAACCCTCATGGGGGGGGGGCATGCATCTCACACACACCCCAAAATGGAGGGAAGACTCTGGGTCCTTTCCCCAAAACTGTGCCATTAGGTGAGACCCAGGAGGGGGGGACCTCTCCCTTTGTAAAGACAGTGCTCCCCCTCCCCAAGAAAGGCAAACAAGACTTGGATGTTCCCCCAATGCTTACATCAGGATGAGTGAATACCCAGTTGATGATAATAATAATAATAGTAGTAAAGTTGGAAGGGACCTTGGAGGTCATCTAGTCCAACCCCCTGCTCGGGCAGGAAACCCTACACCATTTCGGACAAATGGCTGTCCAGTCTCTTCTTAAAAACTTCCAGTGTTGGAGCATTTACTGCTTCTGGAGGCAAGCTGTTCCACTGATTAATTGTTCTAACTGTCAGGAAGTTTCTCCTTAGTTCTAGGTTGCTTCTCTCCTTGATTAGTTTCCACCCTTTGCTTCTTGTCCTGCCTTCAGGTGCTTTGGAAAATAGCTTAATTCCCTCTTCTTTATGGCAGCCCCTGAGATATTGGAATACTGCTATCATGTCCCCCCTTGTCCTTCTCTTCGTTAAACTAGACATACCCAATTCTCGCACCGTTCCTTATATGTTTTAGCCTCCAGTCCCCTAATCCTCTTTGTTGCTCTTCTCTGTACTCTTTCTAGAGTCTCAACATCTTTTTTACATCGTGGTGACCAAAACTGGATGCAGTATTCCAAGTGTGGCCTTACCAAGGCATTGAAGAGTGGTATTAATACTTCACGTGATCTTGATTCTATCCCTCTGTTAATGCAGCCTAGCACCGTGTTGGCCTTTTTGGCAGCTGCAGCACACTGCTGGCTCATATTTAAGTGATTGTCTACTAGGACTCCGAGGTCCCTCTCACAGTTACTACTATTGAGTATGGTCCCACCTATGCTGTACTTGTGCATTTGGTTTTTCTTGCCTAAATGTAGAACCTTGCTTTTTTCACCATTGAATTTCATTTTGTTAGTTAGTGCCCAGTGTTCAAGTCTGTCCAGATCCTTCTGTATCTGAAGCCTGTCATCTGGAGTGTTGGCTATTCCTGCCAGCTTGGTGTCGTCTGCAAATTTGATGAGTTCCCCATCTATCCCTTCATCCAAGTCATTGATGAAGATGTTGAAGAGTACTGGGCCCAGAACAGAGCCCTGGGGCACCCCACTACACATTTCCCTCCATATAGATGCAGTTCCATTGAGGACCACTCACTGAGTACGGCCGGTCAATCAGCTATGGATCCATCTGGTGGTGGTTCTGTCTACCCCACATTTTTCTATCTTGTCAAGTAGTAGGTTGTGATCTACTTTATCAAATGCCTTACTGAAGTCCAAGTAAGTTGCAGAACATTTTAATTCTGATTGATTAGTTGTGATTTCTGGCTGATTCTTCCGATTTCTGACTGAGGTGATTTCTGATTGATTATTCTGATTTGATTAGTTCTGATTCCTGATTATTCTGATTTGATCCATTGTGATTTCTGATTATTCTGATTTGATTAGTTCTGACTTGATTTTGTTTAATTCTGGTTAGTTCTGATTTTTAATCGATTATTCTGATTTGATTAGTTCTGATTTTGGATTGATTATTCTGATTTGATTAGGAGTTTGAGTTCTGACGTCTGTTGGTTTGAATGGTATGTATTTGTTTCCTATTTTTTTTTTCATTTGATTTGATGATTCTTTTTTATTCCCAACTAAAGTCACATTTTGAATCATGCGACCATATAAATCAGACATGTCAAACACAAGGCCCGGGGGCCGGATGCGGCCTGCAAAGTGATTTCATGTAGCCCGCGAAGCCATCCTGGAAACAGTGAGGGAACGGCCCCTGCTGCCTTGGCCCTGGCCCAGGCCGGCCGGGAGACAATGTACAATTTTGTGGTGGCCATCTATGCTGAAACGCATTCAGTCTTAGCTCCACAAGGCCGTCTGGAACCAGCGAGGAACCAGCCCCTGCCACGTCGGCCCCGCCCCCTGGATGCATGCTGGGGAGGTGTCACCCTTTGTGAGGAATGAAGAAATGGACCATGCCTTGGCGCTTGCCCTGGTCCCACCCCTTTCTGCCAGAGACCCTCAGATCTGTCCCACTCCTGCCCAGGCCCCCACAGGCACCCTTGATGCAAATGATGTAGAGCTGGCCATGCCCACCCAGTAGGCCACACCCACTCCATCCATGCCCACCCTGGCCACACACACACACACACACATACACACCCAAGGGCAACCGCAATGCTGATGCGGCTCTCAATGAAATTGAGTTTGACACCCCTGATATAAATAAATCTAAGTAGACAAATGACACCCTTCCAGGACTTGAGCAAATTGGAAAATGGGGGGCAGGTAGACAAACTTCAGAGAAACTGAAAGACATCTAACCAAATATATAGCAGTCCTTGTTGTCCTCATCTCCTGAACAACAAAGACAGTTCAACCAACCCTACCTGGGCAAGTGCAAACAAATTCTTAACGCTCTTGAGAGTAAGGTTAAAAAAAACAAAAACAGGAAGGAGACTTGCAAAACTGCCAAGTGGATTTCAACACAGCTCCACAAAACAGAGCAATCCTAGCTGTCTTGGACAGTGGTCTAAGAGAGGGTGGTCTAAACCAGGGTTTCCCAAAGTGGTCAGTTTCACCCCCCCACAGCTGAGTAGGAATGTCCAAGGGGTCAGTAAGTGATTGGATGTCAAAAGGGGGGACAATAAATTGCTAAGGGTCAACTTGGTATTTGATAAAAGATGATAAGTTGATTGGGATCAGTTTGTAGGACAAGGATTGTCCCTAGTGGACAATCATTTAAATATGAGCCAGCCGTGTGCTGCAGCTGCCAAAAAAACCAACACAGTCTGGGCTGCATTAACAGAGGGATGGAATCAAGATCACGTGAAGCGTTAGTACCACTTTACAATGCTTTGGTAAGGCCACGCTTGGAATACAGCATCCAGTCCTGGTCACCATATTATAAAAAAGAGGTTGAGTCTTTGGAAAAAGTGCAGAGAAGAGCAGCAAAGATGATTAGGCAACTGGAGGCAGAACACACGAGGAATAGTTGCAGGAATTGGGTAAGTAGTCTAGTGAAAAGAAGGACTAATAGCAGTGTTCCAGTATTTGAGGAGCTGTCACAGAGAAGAGGTGTGTGTGTGTGTATGTGTGTGGCAATCTATTCTCCAAAGCACCTGAAGGCAGAATAAGAATGAATGGAAACAATCAAGGAGGGAATCGACCTAGAATTAAGGAGAAACTTCCTGGCAGTTAGGACAATTAATCAGTGGAACGAGTTGCCTCCAGAAGGTGCTCCAACACACTGGGGATTTTTGAGAAGAGACTGGACAACCACTTACCTGAAATGGTATAGGGTTTCCTGCCTGAGCAGGGGGTCTCTTCCAGCTCTGTTATTCTGAGAGGCAGAGCCTGGAGGTGGAGTCAAGGGAGGAATCAGCCTAGAATTTTTACATTCCCACAAGTGGTTTAAATCCAGCCCTTTTCATTCTGTTAACTCTTCTCTAGCGACTGCTGATCGTTAGTGGACTAGATTCTTATGTACAGGCAGGAGCAATAAATCACTTTAACTGGTATTTAACTGTAGCCCCGATCCTTCACTCCTGACACTATTGTAGGCAGTTCTTGACTTACTACCGGTTGTTTAGCAACTATTCAAAGTTACAACGAACTCCCCAAAAGCTACTTAGGACCCGTTTTCAAAGTTATTACACACACACACAAACACACACACACCTGCATACAACACACGCACACATACACACACACACACACAAAATGATCACATGATTGCATTTTGGGCAATTAGCTCACTTGTATGACCCATTTGCAGCATCCCGCAGTCATGCGACTGCAATTTTCAGTGGGTTTTTTTGCCATATTTTGCCCAAAAAAACCCACCCATTGGTGAAAACAGGTTCACTTAGAACTACCGCAGCATGTGCTTAATTTATTGTGGCGTTCACCTAATGACCACCGCAAGAAAGGTAAGTCAGGTGCAATCGTAGTGACCTGCTTAATGACTGTCGTGGCTTACATTCATAGTTCCAGGCTCAGTTATGGTCATACACTATAACATAGAGCAGTAATACCGAGATCTGTAGATTTCAACTCCCAGAAAGTTCAGCAACGGACATGCTGACTGGGAATTCTGGGAGTTGAAGTCCACAAATCATAAAAGGGCCATGTTTGAAGACCCCTGCACTAAACGAACTTTTGTTAAGTCAGGGATGATTCGACAGGTGGCTGCACTTTTCCCCTTCCACTGATGTGCTGATTCTCTTCTCCAGATCCAAAAGCTGAGCAGCTGCATGGTGGAGACAAGTAACCGAGAGGGTCCAGGGACTGCCACGCACACAGACTTCCACCGAGAGAAGACCAAAACCCCCCACGCCGAAATCTGTTGTCGCACAGAAAAAGCTGGGCCGCCTACGGTACCTTGGCTGGAGCACAGGAAAACAGCCTTGTTGTGTGAGGAATCTTCAGAGGCAGCTCCTGCTCCCGAATCAGGGAAGGGCACAAAGAGCTTGGTGGAACTCCTGGTAAGTTACAAGGAGGAGCATCCATGGAGATTCTCAGTCATCCAGGTCACGGTTGTCCCAAAGGTGCTTTTTTCGAGAGGCAACTAGGGTTCCTTTGTTTTTTCCTTGAAGACGTTTCGCTTCTCATCCAAGAAGCTTCTTCAGTTCTGACTGAATGGCGAGGAATGGAAAGATTTATACTCCTTGCAGACAGCTGGTCATTTGCATTCCTTTTAGAGCAAGGGTCTTCAAACTTGGCCCTTTTATGACTTGTGGACTTCAGCTCCCAGAATTCCATAGCCAGCATGCATGTGCTGACTGAGGAATTCTGGGAGTTGAAGTCCACAAGTCGTAAAAGGGCCAAGTTTGAAGACCCCTGTTTTGGAGAGTTGTTGAGGCCACTTGGAAGTTTATCTGTGTTCACACTCTGAACAGAGACAACCGCTGGTTTGAGAGAGGGGTCAAAGAGGCCATCTGTGTCCAAATTGAACAGCCCTCCCTCAACAGAGGGGGAGGGATAGGACATCATCCATCTCCAGTCTACAACACAGTCCTTTCAGCAGTCTCAAGAAGGCTCCACACCCATTTGTACCACTCAGGTGACCCTGAGGACACAGACAAACCTCCAGGTGGCCTCAACGACTCTCTAAAAGGATGCAAATGACCAGCTGTCTGCAAGGAGTATAAATTCTTCCATTCCCCACCATCCAGTCAGAGCTGAAGAAGCTTCTTGGATGAGAAGCGAAACGTCTTCAAGGAAAAACAAAGAAAGTCCAGTTGCCTTTTGAAAAAGCACCTTTGGGATGTCCAAGGATGAGTTGGCCTTGTAGTTGGCCTTGTAGTCTGCTTTTGTTAGGAGAGGGGAAGGCAAGGTTGGTTAATATGGACCCGGGTGGTTAAGTCTCTTGTCTTTCAAGAAATGTTGGAGCTAGTGATTGGGAGAATTAATTGATAATTAACTCAGATAAGATTGGGCAAAGTGAGAGATTCATTAATTCACATATTCATTCATTTATTCATTCATTCACTTAACCATTGGTTCATTCTTTTATTTACTTATTCACTTATTTGGTCATTCAGTCAGTCATTCGCATTACCCATTTTGTCATTCATTTATTTGCTTATGTGTTCAGTCATTTATTCATTCACTTACCCATCCATCCATCCAGTCATTTATTTACTTATTCATTGATTCGCTTATTCGGTTATTCAATTATTCACTTACCCATTTATTTACTTATTTATTCACTTATTCATGTATTCATTCACATACTCATAGAATATAGAACATAGAATAGCAGAGTTGGAAGGGACCTTGGAGGTCTTCTAGTCCAACCCCCTGCTCAAGCAGGAAACCCTATACCATTTTGGACAAATGGCTGTCCAGTCTCTTCTTAAAAACTTCCAGCGTTGGAGCATTCGCCGCTTCTGGAGGCAGGTGGTTCCACTGATTATTTGTTCTAACGGTCAGGAAGTTTCTCCTTAATTCTAGGTTGCTTCTTTCTTTGATTGGTTTCTAGCCGTTGCTTCTTGTCCTGCCTTCAGGCTCTTTGGAGAAGAGCTTGACTCTCTCTTCTTTGGGGCAGCCCCTGAGATACTGGGACACTGCCATCATGTCATCCCTAGTCCTCCTTTTTCACTAGACTAGACATATGTTCATATGTTTTAATCTCCAGTCTCCTAATCATCTTTGTCATTTATTTATTTCAACATTTATTTGTTTGTTTGTTATTTTAATTCATTTATTTATTCAGCCACCCAATTCAAATGCTCAAATCAGTCTAACCGCTTAGGGCGGGGGTGTCAAACTGCCGGCCCACGGGCTGGACGCATCATCCGGAAGCCATGCCCACCCCATTGCCGGCAATGGCAAAACCGGCCCGATACATTGTGCGATGTCATATGATGTCGTGAGTTTGACATGTCTGGCTTAGGGCATCTGATAATGTAAGCTGCAGGTCACAAAATCTTCTGGCTTTTAATACAGAAAAGATGTTACCAGGCTCCTGATAATTTTGTTTTGACATCGTAAACTCACACGCCTCTCCTCCTACATCCCTCGCAGTTTGTGATCCTATTTGATCCTATTTGTGATCCTATTTGGGTGCTTAAGGCTATTTGCCATGTCCCGCTGTCGTGTGACCACAATTGTGTGACCACAATTTCCAGCATTTTTTATTTTGCCAGAAACCAGAATTTACTTCTGCTAGGAGCCCTGATGCCGCAGTGGTTAGAATGCAGTATTGCAGGCTAACTCCGCCCACTGCCATCAGTTCGATCCCAGCCATCTCGAGGTTGACTCAGCCTTCCATCCTTCTGAAATCAGTAAAATGAGGACCCATATTGTTTGGGGGCAAGATGCCGATTCTGTACACCGCTTAGAGAGTGCTATAAAAGCACCATGAAGTGGTATATAAATCTAAGTGCTATTGCTATTGCAGGCTAACTCTGCCCACTGCCAGCAGTTCAATCCTGGCCATCTCGAGGTTGACTCAGCCTTCCATTCTTCTGCAATCGGTAAAATGAGGACCCAGATTGTTGGTGGACAAGATGCTGACTCTGTAAACCTCTTAGCGAGGGCTGTAAAGCACTGTGAAGTGGTACATAAGTCTAAGTGCTATTGCTATTGCAGGCTAATTCGGCCCACTGTCAGGAGTTCGATACTGCCTGTCTGAAGGTTGACTCAGCTTTCTCTCGTTCTGAGGTCGGTAAAATGACCCCAATTGTTGGGGGAGGCATACGCCAACTGCAAACCTCTTAGCGAGGGCTGTAAAGCACTGTGAAGCAGTCTATATGTCTACATCCTCTGGCTATCCTACAAGTAACCTACTGGTTAAAAAGAGTTCATTTAACAATAATAGTAGTAGTAGTAAAGTTGGAAGGGACCTTGGAGGTCATCTAGTCCAACCACCTGCTCAGGCAGGAAACCCTATGCCATTTCGGCTGTCCAGTCTCTTCTTAAAAACTTCCAGTGTTGGAGCATTCACCGCTTCTGGAGGCAGGTTGTTCCACTGATTAATTGTTCTCACTGTCAGGAAGTTTCTCCTTAGTTCTAGGTTGCTTCTCTCTTTGATTAGTTTCTACCCGTTGCTTCTTGTCCTGCCTTCAGATGCTTTGGAGAATAGCTTGACTCCCTCTTCTTTGTGGCAGCCCCTGAGATACTGGAACGCTGCTATCATGTCCCCCCTCGTCTTTCTATTCTTTAGACTAGACCACAGGTCGGCAACCTGCGGCTCCGGAGCCGCATGCGGCTCTTTGAACCTTCCCCTGTGGCTCCCAGCCTCCTCTGCCTTTGCAGAGAGAGAGACAGAGACAGAGAGAGGCAATTGCGCTTCCCTGCTTCTCTCTCTCTCTCTCTCTCTCTCTCTCTCTCTCTCTGTGTGTGTGTGTGTGTGTGTGTCTGTGTGTATGTGTGTCTGTGTAAAAGAGAATGCACTCACAGTGTTCTCCAAGGAGCTGAAAAGCTTACTGGGCGGAGCTCCTCCCTTTGCTGCATCTCTGCATGAAGCAGGAAGCAGGAAGGGCAGGAGAGAGCTAGCTAGCCCAGCTAGGCTGACTCAGGAATTCTGGGAGTTGAAGTCCATGAGTCATAAAAGAGATGAGGTTGCTTACCCCTGAGCTTGTTGGACAACAGCTTGAAACTTGCCAGGTGAGCAGCAGATGGGGGGGGGAGAAAGAGAGAGAGAGAAAGAGAGAGAGAGGGAGGGAGAGAGAGAGAGAGAGAAGAAAGAAAGAGAGAGAGAGAGAGAGAGAAAGAAAGAGAGCGGGGGAAGAGGAGTGGCAGACCAAGGGCAGATAGAGAGGGAGGGAGAGAGAGAGAGAGAGACCCTTTTGACATCTAAAATGAAGATAACACTGCATATATCCTTTTTTTACCTGTGTGTGTATGTGTATGTGTGTGTATATACATATATACATACATACATATATTTGTTTTCTGAGGTTTTCGCGGGTGTTTGTATGTAGGTCTTTGGTTGTTCGGGTTTTCTCCCGCGTAAAATTGGAAGTGTCTTGGCGACGTTTCGACGAAGTCCCATTCGTCATCTTCAGGCTGGTGTTTTCAGCTCCCCCCCAATCAGTTCATACCCCCACTGGCAGTTAAAAGGAAGAAACAGCTAAGACCACACATTGCTGCTCGAAGCACAAAGCTGAAAACACCAGCCTGAAGATGACGATTGGGACTTCGTCGAAATGTTGCCAAGACACTTCCAATTTTACGCGGGAGAAAACCCGAACAACCAAAGACCTACATACATATATATATATACATACATATACATACACATACATATACATATATATACACACACACATACATACACACACAAACACACACACAAACACACACACACCTATAATAAAGGTAAAAAAGGATATATGCAGTGTTATCTTCATTTTAAATATCAAAAGGGTTTTGTGGCTCCCAGTGTTTTGTTTTTGGTGGGAAACGGGTCCAAGTGGTTCTTTGAGTGTTTTGGGTTGCCTACCCCTGGACTAGACATACCCAATTCCAGCAACCGTTCTTCGTATGTTTTAGCCTCCAGTCCCCCTGATCATCTTTGTTGCTCTTCTCTGTATTTCTAGAGTCTCAGCATCTTTTTTACATTGTGGTGACCAAAACTGGATGCAGTATTCCAAGTGTGGCCTTACCATGGCATTGTAAATGATTGCATTCACTGAACAACCACCACAAAAAAATTAAAACTGGGCTTTGATCAGGTGACCCTAGGTATGCTGCAGTGGTTGTGTCAAAAATAGTCATAAGTTACCCTGTTCAGGGCCGTTGTAACTTCGAACAGTCACTAAACGAATGGTTGTTAAGTCAAGGACAACCTGCCTTTCTCCTCTCTCCCTGTGCTCTCCAGGATGAGTCCGAATGCACTTCCGATGACGAAATATTCATCTCGCAAGATGAGATCCAGTCCTTCATGGCCAACAACAAGTCCTTTTACAGCAATAGAGAACGGTACCGACAGCATCTGAAGGAGAAGTTCAACAGATATTGCCACTTGAACGATCACAAGAGGCCCGTGTGCAGCGGTTGGTTGACAACAGCCGGAGCAAACTAAACCGAATAAAATTAGCTCTGTCTTTCAGTCAAACTGTCGAAAATGACTACTGTGCGTTTTCTCTCTTCGGAAAACAGTCTCTCTAGCAACTAAACAAAATCTTACTTTTTTTAAAAAAAGAAAAAAAAAAGACGGTGGTTTTCTCTTTCTTTCTTTCTTTCTTTTTCTCTCTCTTTCTCTTTCTTTCTTTCTTTCTTTCTTTCTTTCTTTCTTTCTTTCTTTCTTTCTTTCTTTCTTTCTTTCTTTCTTTCTTTCTTTCTTTCTTTCTTTCTTTCTGTCTTTCCTCTCCTTTCCTCTCCAGGAGGCTGGTGGAATTTAATCCTTTTAATTTGGTTCCCCGCACCCCCAACCCTATTTCCAGTTTCCGGGTCTCTAGTTTTTGACTAAAACTGAGACCAGCCCCAAACCATCATAATTTAAAGCCACCTCTTTTTTATTCAATGTTTCTCTTAACTGTGACACTTATCAAACAGGACAAAAAAAAAGCTTAGTGGCAAAAGGTAATGTTGTACTTATAACTCTGTACAGAAATGACAATGAGCTCAATATAAAGATTTTACAAAGTAGACATCCATTTGCAAAAAAAAATTAAAAAAGATGTTCTGGATGTAATATGTTGGAAGCGCGATGTGCAAAATTTAAAAATAAAGAATATTTATTAAGATGCATAGTAAAAAAAAATAAGAAAAGACAAAGTGTGTTCGTTTCTGCTGTTGTTAAAACAGAAGATGCTGATAGCTTGCTGGAGTTAGGTCTAATTTTTAGCAGTTGAAACTATTTTTTTTTTAATGATAGAATATTTTATCACCTAGAGTGAGAACACGGTTTATAGCAATGCGCTTGTTAGGCCGCGTCTTTCATACTGGGGGGGGGAGAAAGTGAGGGTTCAAAGTGATCAATTTAAAAAGCCTGGTTACATCCCAGAGTTTATGGCTTATGGATCCAGTAATCGTGATAAAAATGAACTCCTAGGGGACTCTACAGGTACCATCATGCACTTTTCTTGGCACTGGTATAGAAGTGTCCTGCCATGGTCACCTGTTCGAATTTTTTTAATTTCCTGGTGGTCTCCCATCCCTGCTTAGATTGTATGTTTACAGGAGAACCGCCAAATGCTTAGATCCAATAGAGCAACATTTCTTAACCTCAGCAACTATAAGAGGTGTGGACTTCAACTCCCAGAAATCCCCAGCCAGCTAAGGAATTCAGGGAATAGAAGTCTACAGCTCTAAAAGTAGCTGAGGCTGAAAAAATACTCCAATAAAGAAAGCACAAAGGAAAAGGTGTGATGCTTTAACACTGCTTTTTAAAATTTGATACTGTGCCCTGTTGCATAAAACATAAGCCTTGGTCCATAACCATGGATTTTCCAATAAACCGGAGTTCTCGTGATCCAGTCAACCATAACCTAAGCAAGCTGGCATGGTTCATGCAGTACATTCAGCTCAGATGTTTACAATTTGCTACTTTTACCATTCAACGTGTTGTGCAAACACAGCCTCCATGTTGTGTTATATTCGTTTTTCAAATGGGATTTTCTTAAGCTTCTTAAGTTCTGTGGTTTTTAATCTGCCAACTCCTAAAAAAGAAGGCTGAATGGAGGAAGGGAAGGGGGTGGGGAACTTGGAAAAAAAAAAGAGATAATCTATATACTTTATTGGAAACTATTTGCTAGGGCCCATGTTGGCACTTTATGCAGTACATCATTTATGATTATCTTAACCATCATTTTCAAAATTAGCCGGACTGGTTTGTGGTTTCACATGAGAGATGCCTCATAAACTATCCACTTTGCACTCTACATTAGGCTGAAATAATATTTGTTTATTTGCACCCCGTATATTGCAAACCCCATTATAGAATCCTAGGATGGAAGGGACCTTGGAGATCTTCTAGTCCAACCCAAGACAGGAGTCCTGATACCATCCTGGAAAGATGGTGATCCAATCTTTTCTTGAAAACCTCCAGTGATGGAGCACCCACAACTTCTGGAGGCAAGTTGGTCCACTGGTTAATTGTTCTCACTGACAGGAAAATTCTCCTTAGTTCCAGGTTGGATTTTCTTCTGAGGAGCTTCCACCCACTGCTTCTTATCCTGCCCTCAGGTGCTGTAGCGAATAAGTCAACCTCATCGCGATGACCTTCAAGAGTTGGAAGATGGTTATCATGTCCCCCCCCCCTTCCAATCCTTCTCTTCATTAGGCTATTCATACCTAGTTCCCTTAGCCCAGTGTTTCTCAACCTTGACAATTTTAAGGCATGTGGACTTCAACTCCCAGAATTCCACAGCCAGCATTGCTGCCTGTGGAATTCTGGGAGTTGAAGTCCACATGCCTTAAAATTGTCAAGGTTGAGAAACACTGCGGTAGCCTTTCATTATACCATTTAGCTTCCAGACCTTTTATCATCTTTGTTGCTCTCCTCTGCGTCCTTTCCAGGCTCTTTTTTTTTTTTTTTTTGATAAAAACAGCAGGGGAAGGCACACACGAAAGTGATAAAACTGCAGGAAAAATACATTCAAAATGGAAGTACTGGTATACACCAATTGGTGTAGGCACGCTTGGTGAATCCCAAGCTGGGCCTTTGCACCAGCCCCATCAATCCTTCAGAAGCTTTCTTGAAGACAGCAAGCACTTAGACCAGGGGTCTTTAAACTTGGTCCTTTTATGACTTGTGGGCTTCAATTCCCAGAATTCCTCAGCCAAGCATGCTGACTTAGACTTATATACCGCTTCACAGGGCTTTTTATACCCCTTTCTAACCGGTTTACAGAGTCAGCATATTTGCCCACCAACAATTTGGGCCCTCATTTTGCAGACCTCAGAAGGATGGAAGGCTCAGTCAACCTTGAGCCCTGTCAGGATCGAATTGCTGGCAGCCAGATGTTCAACTGAAGAAGCGAAGTTAGGGAGAAGCCACGAAAAATGCTATAGGTGGCAGGTTTGACACAGCCTTGAATAGGGACAAAGAGATTGAAAACTTGCAGTGAAGGAGACCCTTCAATAGAGAACATGAATTCTCTCCCCTCCTCCAAGATGATGCCCAGCAGGTGCTTGGAGAAAGTCTGGTTTGTTGTGTCAGCTGTTTTCTCTCCTTGTGTCACAAAGTTAGATTCAGGGCTTTTCTCCTAGGACTATAAATTATTACAACCACAACTGAAGATTCAAGAGGGTGTCCCAAAAAATCAAAATGGAGGCTGCGGTCATGTGATCAAAGCCCCATCCGCATTTTAGTTGGTCCAGTGAGCCACCATTTTGTAAATGCTTCATAGCCAGGAATAGCAGAAGAGAAACTGCCTCTTCTCAATTACTTGCCTAGCTCTCCCTACTTATTATTCAAAAGACTTGTGATTATCTTACGATTCATATTTCACTAGATTTAAGGTTTATAACCACTGCTTCGATTTCCTCCAGCACCTCATTTTTCCTCACAACAACCCTGCAGGGCAGACCAGGTGCAGAAAGGACGGGTTAAGTTAACCAGCAGAGTTCCATGGCTGAAGATGGCTTGGAGGTCCATGTTCTTCTCATGATGAAGGCTTCACCACCACCTTTGAGTCAGCAGACATCTAGATTGGCACGACATTTGGCGTGGCCTGGCCGACCGTTTCTACCTCTATTGTGTGACTCTGCCAGGGGTGCCAAGGTTGGGGAGATCGGAGAACCCCTATCCACCCATCCGGCTGGATCCAAATAAGAGGAAAAGACTGTTTTATGACCAGACCATAAGAATATACAGAATACAGAATAACAGAGTTGGAAGGGACCTTGGAGGTCATCTAGTCCAACCCCCTGCTCAGGCAGGAAACCCTATACCAGTGGTTCTCAACCTTTTTAATGCTGCGACCCCCAACCGGTCATAAGTCGAGGACTACTCAACTGGTGCAGCACCGTTTGCAGAATGGGACTTTTGGCGGGTTCAGCAGGGCAGAGACAGCCTGGACAATTCCTATTGGCTTTTGAAAGCCAATAGAATTAGACTCTATTCAAGAGAGTCTATTCTATTGGCTTTCGAAAGCCAATAGAATAAAAGGGAGTAGCACAGCTAAGGAAAAGGGGAAAAAAAGTGGCGGACTGCGTTGTTTGGCAACCCCCGTGAAATGGTCGTTCGACCCCAAATGGGGTCCCAACCCACAGGTTGAGAATCACTGCCCTATACCATTTCAGACAAATGGTTGTCCAATCTCTTCTTAAAAACTTCCAGTGTTGGAGCATTCACCACTTCTAGAGGCAGGTTGTTCCACTGGTCAATTGTTCTGTCAGGAAGTTTCTCCTTAGTTCTAGGTTGCTTCTCTCCTTGATTAGTTTCCATCCGTTGCTCCTTGTCCTGCCTTCAGGCGCTTTGGAGAATAGCTTGACTCCCTCTTCTTTGGGGCAGCCCCTGAGATACTGGAAGGCTGCTATCATGTCCCCCCTCGCGTTTCTCTTCATTAAACTAGACATACCCAATTCCAGCAGCCGTTCTTTATATGTTTTAGCCTCCAGTCCCCTAAATATCTTAAGCCTGGCTCACTCCCGGGCTGCAGAGAAGGCAAAGTCACCAGAAAGCCAGCTGGCCGGGTAGGTTGGCGCCTCGGCTGGGAGGCAGGGCTGCCCCGATGCTCGCCCCTTCCCGCGAGTAGACTCCTCCGATGCTGCCTGGCGCCGCTCCCGGGGGCGGCCGGAGGCCCCACCCGCTGGAAAAATGCAAGGGGAACTTTCAACCCTGCCCAGGGAGGGGGCCGCGTCGCTTCCCCGCCTCCTGCCGGCTTCTCTCGCCAGCCGAAGGGCGAGGCTGCCCTTGGAGAAGGAGGCGAGTGGGCCGGTCGGTTCCTCCTCCTCCTCCTCCTCTCCTCTCTCCTCCTCCCGGGAGAACGTTCGCTGGACGGGCTCCAGCGCTTCGGGGAGGCAGGAAGGGAGGGAGGGAGGAACCAGTCGCGGTTGGAGGGAGGCAGGCAGGCAGGCAGACGCCGGCAGCCGGCGCGGCGCGGCTCGGGGATCATGGAGCGCTGGAAGAACCGAGTGGCGTTGGTCACGGGCGCGTCGGTAGGCATCGGAGCCGCCGTGGCTCGGGCGCTGGTGCAGCACGGGCTGAAAGTGGTGGGCTGCGCCCGGAGCGTGGACAAGATCGAGGTAGGCTGGAAGGGAGGGAAGGAGGGAGACGGAGGGAGGGAGAGAAGGAAGGAAAGAAAGAAAGAAAAAAGGAAGACGGGTAGGAGGAAGGAAGGAAGGGTGGAAGGGTAAAGAAGAAGAGAAAGATAGGGCAGCAGGGCAGTGAGGGAGGGAGAGAGGGAGAGAAGGAAGGAAGGAAAGAAAAAAGGTAGGAAGACGGGGGAGAGAAGGAAGGAAGGAAGGAAGGAAGGAAAGAAGGAAGGAAGGAAGGAAGGAAGGAAAAGGGGGTACAGAAGAAGAGAAAGAAGAAAGCAGGACAGGGAGGGAGTAAGATGGAGGGAGGGAGAGAAGGAAGGAAGGGGAGAGAGAAGGAAGGAAGGAAAAAGGAAGGAAAGAAATGTGCGGGGAGGAAAGAGACGGGAGCATTTACGAAGAAAGGAATGTAGAGAACGAATGAGCGAAGGAATGAATGAACGGAGGTTTGGAGGGAGGGAGCACTGCTGGCGAAAGGAACATAGAGAGAAAGAACACACACA